TGTAACGGCCTCAGTTTTCTCATCAGTAACTTGGGGCCTGTGAAGCGCCTGGCGCTGTGACAGCAGCCTAGAGGGTGGTCCTTGTTGGTGGGTGGGAGTGGGAGGGGCTAGGGCAGGTCGTGGGGTGGGAGGTAGAGAGGTCGGCTTCCAGGGCCATTGAGTGGACAGCTGTGCCTTGACCACGCTTGTCCATGGCCATCCGCCCTTCGGCCCCGTCCGCTATTTAGGGGGAGTGGGGAGGTCGAGGTCATGGCCTCCTAAGCATGACCGCCCGGCTGCGCGTCCACAGGCAGGGTGCATGCTGTTCCCCCACATCTCTCCCTGCGAGGTGCGCGTGCTGATGCTGCTGTACTCGTCCAAGAAGAAGATCTTCATGGGCCTCATCCCCTACGACCAGAGTGGCTTCGTCAGCGGCATCCGGCAGGTCATCACCACCCGCAAGCAGGTGCGTGAGGCCCCACCTGGCCAGGGGGTGCCTGGGAGAGGTCTGCTCCTGCCCCGTGGCTCTCCTGCTGGGGTGCCAGAGCAGGAGTCTGGGTGCCTCTGAGGACATGCCAGTTGGGAGGTGGCCCTGCCCCTAGCTGCCCTGGGTGAGACTGGGGATGGAGCACGGGGGAGGGGCTGCAGGTAGGAGGGGCCCAGGGCTGTCCCCGCCCCCTCACCAGCCTCTCGGCTCTGCAGGCTGTGGGCCCAGGCGGGAACGCTGGCCCGGTGCACATGGTTAACAACAAGTTCCTGGCGTGGAGCGGAGTCATGGAATGGGAGGAGGTGAGCTCGCTCGCTTGGGGCAGGTGGCCCACAGGCCTGAGGGAGGAAGGCACCCCCACAGCATCTAACGGCCCCCTTTCCTACCCCAAAGCCCAGGCCTGAACCCAACAGCTGCTCCAAGAGGTGGCTGCCCTCCCACGTCTACGTGAACCAGGGCGAGATTCTGTGAGTGCCTGTCGGGGGGCGGACCGAGGGTGGGCGTGGCCCTGCAAGCTGACCCCTGCCCCTGCGCCCACAGGAGGACCGAGCAGTGGCCTCGGAGGCTGTTCATGCAGCTCATCCCGCAGCAGCTGCTGGTGAGCGGGGCCAGGCCGGTGGGGCCCCAGAAACCTGGGGTGGGTCCCCAGAACAGGGCCTGGGGCCAGCATTCATAGAGAACGGGAACATCCCCAGAGATGACCAGTGGGCAGGACTGGGATGCAGCGGTTTTTGGGGTGGGAAGGCCAGCTTGTCCCCGATGCTGGAGGCAGCGGGGACAGCAGAACGTGAGGGGACCCAGCACGGAGCCTGCTCCACCATCCCCATAGACCACCCTGGTGCCGCTGTTCCGGAACTCCCGGCTGGTACAGTTCCACTTCACCAAGGACGTGGAGACGCTCAAGAGCCTTTGCCGCATTATGGACAACGGCTTTGTGAGTCGGAGCGCTGGGGGCGGGGCGGGGGACAGGGTCGTCGTGGCCTCCCACCTGGCTCCCTGGGGCAACAAGCTCAGTCCCCTGCAGCCCCTGACCAACAGATGGAGAAACTGAGGCCCAGCTGGGGGCTCCATGTCCATTGCCCTCCATGGTTTCTTCAGTGCCATGGGGGAGCAGACATGGTCTGCATTCGGCTCCTCACCCCCGCACCCCATTCACCCTGCTCTGAGGGCCACTGCTGTGTCCCCACTGTGTTGCTCACATGGGGCTTATTAAGGTCCCCAGGCGGGCAGCCAGGTCACCCCCACACCCTCAGAACACCCAGCCAGCCTCCTGTCCATTCAGGTCTGAGGCGACATCCAAGGTGTCCCCTGTGCCCAAGTGGCCTCCAACCCACTTGCTCTCCAGACCCATGAGGGTATGGGGTTGAGGGGCTGACTGTGCCCTGACCCAGCCCCTTCTCAGTCAGGTGATAGGGAGTGGGGGAGAGCAAGAACATAGCCCTGGGTCCCCCCTCAGCATCACCTGGTCCTCCGTTCAGGTACACCCAGACCCCCTGTGGGAGGGGACTTGTTCACCCCGGGTCTGTGTCCTCTGAAGGACATGAGCACAGGGTGCGGGGACCTGTGGTCAGGGTGGGGGTCCAGCCCTAGCTGCCCCATGGTGCCAGGGTCACTGGGGACCAGTTGGGGTGTGCGTTGCCCGTGGGGGCGCTGTGTGTCTGTGGGCTGGTCATAGCATCACATTTCAGCTTCTTGGGCATCCTCCCCACCTTCTGAGCCCGGGAGGCATCCCCCTTCTGTGAGATGGGGTGGTGCCAGAGCCAGGGCAGCGGCCTGCTGATGCTGACATCCCACTCGTCCCCAGGCTGGCTGCGTGCACTTCTCCTACAAGGGCACGTGTGAGGTGCGCGTGCTCATGTTGCTGTACTCCTCGGAGAAGAAGATCTTTATCGGCCTCATCCCCCACGACCAGGGAAACTTTGTCCACGGCATCCGCCGTGTCATCGCCAACCAGCACCTGGTCCTGCAGCGCAACCTGGAGCAGGAGCAGCAGCAGCGGGGGGTGAGGCTGCCCGGCCCGTGTGCTCCCACCCACCGCCCGTGTCCCGTGCTGGCCCAGCGCTGCCCTAAGCTGACCCACCCTCTTCCTCCCACAGATGGGGGGCTAGTGCTCCCTGCCCGGTCTCCAGGAGCCTCGGATGAGGCCCCCACCCCACCCCGACTGGTGAGCGGCGCCCACGCAGGGGACAGAGTTGAGCCTCAGGGGCAACAGGAGGGCCATCTGGCCCAGACAAGGTGGATGGTGAGGAAGGCATAGGTCTGGGGCCCTGTTGGGAGCTGCCACCCAGACCCTGCACTGTCACCTGCCTGCCAGGTCAGATGCCTCCCAAGAGGGCCCCCTGGGAGTGCAATGGCCCAGGTGATGAAGGAGGGGGGCGCGACCTAACCCCTGTGTATTTCCCCAATAAAGCCTTTTAAAAACCTGCCTATCCAATTAGCTGCTCATTCCTAGTGTCCCTTCCTCTGGCCAGGGGAGGACTGGGCCCTGGGCAAGTCTTTCACAGAACCATGCAGCAGGCTTCTTGGTGGGCTGCTCTTCTGCAGAGGCCCCTGGGTGATGCAGTATAGACTTGTCCCCAGGTGTTGGGGGTAAAGTAAACAAGCAGGGATACGGCTGGGATTTAACTGCCCCTCTCCCCTGAGGAGCCCCAGTAGGGGTCTATGAGGCTGCCCCAAAGGGGAGGGGGTGGCACATAGGCTTAGGCCTGTAGGCCTGTCAGAAGTTGCAGGCCGGGCTGGACTCAGCTGTCCAGACACCCAGGCACCACACAGCTGCTCAGCCTGGCTCCACCCTGTGGGGACTCGAGGCGGGTGCCTCTCAGCCTGGTTGGAGCAGACAGCCCACTCAGGGGCCCTGCCTGGAGAGTTTCCCAGCCTACATCCCCACCCCCACAGGCCCACTCCTCTCTAGAGATTGGTCCTAGCCCGGGTGGGCCCAGCACAGAAACCGAAACAGGTGCTCTTGTAAGCTTCAGTGGGGTGTGCGGGGCAAACGCTCCACCTGTGCTGAGACCCCATCTGTGGGGAGCGGCACTGCTGGGGCCTGCAGGGCGGGTAGCCAAAGGTCCCTAGTTCCAGCCCCATCACGGGGTCCAACTTCCTGTTTTAAGGCTACCCCAGGTGTACTGGTGACTGGGCTCCCAGCCTTGATGATCCCTCGTTTGCGACAGCCCCCCTCCCCAGTCACGGCTACCCAAACGGGAAAATAATTCACTTTATTGCAGCGGAAGGGCTCAGCCCTCGGAGAACTGCCTGTACAGGCGCTCGAGGTCCGGTGCCAGGTGCAGCCAGAACGGGATCTGCAGCACCTGCGTGAAGCCCTCGGCCAGCGTCGGCTCCTGGAACTGCTTCCTGCGGCGGGTGGGGGACGCGGTCAGGCCGGGAGGGGGTCAGTCACCTGGCTCGGTCCAGCCCAGCCCCGGGGTATCTGTACCTGTAGCTGAACATGACCATGTCGGTCACAGGTGCATGCTGGGAGCCGGTCATCTCTCGGAACTGCGGGAGGAGAGGGAGATCAGGTGGGCCCGGGGCGGGGCCGGAGGCGGGGCCTCTAGGGGGCGGGGCCAGGGCCGGCGCTCACGCGGTTGTTGTGGCGCGCCTGCTCCAGGGTGGCAGTGAAGAGGAAGCAGCGGCAGGGGACTCCAGCATCTTGGGCGCACTTGGTGTACCTGCGCGAGCACCAGGGAGGCGTTGGGCTCGTAAGGTGCCCGCGCTGCCCTCGGGGCGGCGTGCCCCCAGCCCCTGGTACCTGGCCCGGCTGGCGACGTCTGCGTTTGTGTTGTCCACCACGACGCGCTGCCGCCGCTTCAGGGAGGTCTCGCACAGGCTCACGCAGCGCTGCCACGAGCCCAGCGTGTCCTGGGGGCCACAGCGGGGGAGGGGAGAGGTCACGGGCGGCGAGGGCCAGGGCACCCCGTGGAGGGAAGCCCCGAAAGCAGACAAGAGACCCAGAGAGAGGGGCCGGGGCCCTGCAGACACGCTGTGGGGCGCCGACAGCCTACCCTGTTGACGTGGATGTATCCGGCCGACACCAGGTGCTCCTGGAGGAACGTGGACTTCCCAGCTGTGGGGTGGGGGTGCGCTATCAGCGGGAGCCTTGGGGACCCGGGAAGGGCTGGGGGCCTCCTAGAGGTCAGGGATGGGACGGGCATCTCACCCCCAGGAAATCCCACGGCGACCACCACCTCCGGGTCGGAGCTCAGGAGGGAGTTGGAGTCCGGGAGCCAGAGCGGCCCTGAGGAGGTGACAGTCCTCTGGGGGGCGGGGGGCCGGACAGGAAGGATGTGACCTGCGTCGTCCCCACCTGTCTCCCGACCACCCGCACCGCAACTCACTTCCCACTCACCCACCCGGGCGTCTCACCGGGTCGAAGGCCGGGAGCTCGAAGCGGGCAGCGGGCCACTTGAGAAAGAACTCCTCGGGCGTGGAGAAGGGCAGGCCGAGGTTGAGGGCGAACTGGGGGCGAGGGCGGGGTTACGAGGGGCCCCAGGGCCTCCCGGGTGGGACGGAGTGTGCGCGGGCGGGGTGGGCTCACCAGGCGATCTGCACACGAGAAGTCTTTCTTCTTCCGCCCGGGGGCCCAGTTGGCGGGACGACCGGCTGCGTCTGTAACACGGGGAATGGGAATTGGTGGTGGTGGTGGTGGTGACATGGTCTCCACCAGCAACTGGGTGACAGCCAGCGGAGGCAGGGTGGGGGCTGGCAGTATCCACCTTTCCCCACGTTCCCCAGCGCCCCTCACCTCCCACGAAGTGGCTGTCCCCGATGGAGATGGGCACACCCTCGTTGGCCTGGGGGAAGAGGGCATGGACAATGGACGGTCAAGCGCTATTTGGACACTTCTATTCCCCAGAAAGCATTTTATGGCCAAGGCCTCTCAGGCGACCCCCCCCACCCCACGGCCCCCTTTCCTCCCTCCCTCCTAGTGGGTCCCCAGCATGGCCACCAGAGGGCTCCCAAACCAGCCTTGTCTGCCTCCCTGCAGTATCTAAACCCCAGCATTAAGAACCTGCAATTCTGTCCTCCCTGTGTCCCCAACCCTGACCTCTGCTCCTCAGCTCCGGCCACTCTGGCACCACCACTCCAAGCCCCCCCGACCCCCACCTCAGGGGACTTGCGTTTGGTACTCTGAAACATTCTTCCCCATCACCCTGTGCTCCTGTCTCATCGGCTTTGGATCTTTGCAAGTGGCTCCACCTGACCACCGAGCTGGAACACTGGCTTCATCTGCCATTTCCCCCTACTTCCGGCCATGCCTTCATGGGCCGGTGGGGGCCGGCGCATCAGCCCCTGGTTCTAGCACCAGGATGTATCCAACACCAGACGCAGCAGCAACTAGATCAGGGAATGAGGAGCGAGGACCTGCTTCAAGGGGTGGTACCCAGGGGCTATAAACGGAAGGAGGCAAGGGGGGGGGGGCGAGGAGGGAGTGCCCACAGGGCCCTGGAGAGGGTCACAGGCAGAGAGAGACAGCAGCTCACCTGCTCCTGTAGATGCTCCCACATGCCAACCACCGGCTTCCGGTACAAACCCGTATGTGTGGCCACCAAAACCTGTGGGTGACAGGGGCTCAGACCCCACCCTGGGCTCCTCTGCCTGGAATGCCCAGCATTCCTCAGGGTACCCGAGCTTCATAGGGTGCTGTCCCACCCCCACCAAAACTAGAGGGCACCCTGGCTCCAGGATGTTCGGTTTAGGTTTCTGTCACCTTTCCCGACTCACCCCAGGGTCTGCTCCCCCTGCCCTCCAAATCTCTTATGTCTGCTCACTTCTCAGGCTCTGGGCGCCCCCCCCCCTGAGTCTATTCCTCTGTCTCTGAGTCTCTGCCCCCTGCCCCCACCAGATCTCTGAGCCCCCGACATCCATACCTGGAAAGAGACCCCCAGCTTCTCTAGCACAGCTTCCATCTTGGCCTTGAAGTCCTCTGCTGACAGCTTCCCTCGCCCGATGCCCATCTGGTTGGTGAAGATCACCAGCTTTTGGGGGGGGGAGGGGTAGACAAGTGTCACCTGGGCCATCATCTCCAGGACCCCCTCCATACTCAAAGCCACACACACCTTGTAACCCTCAGCTTCCAGCTCCTGAAGCTTCTTTGGAATCTCTGGGTATAAGATCCTAGGATAGGTGGGGGAATGAGGGTGACCCAGGATGCAGGAGGTGCACTCAGGCCACCCTCCCTTCCCCCTTGTCCCCGGCCCCTCTCACTTCCAGTCCCGAGTGTCGGTGGGAAAGACCTTTCCAGAGCGGGTGGTGATGAGAGTCCCATCCAGATCGAAGCTGGCCACCTGGCGGCAGGAGACAGGCATATCGCCTTGTTGTCAGGACACCCTCCCTCCCCCTCCCCACCCAGGCTCCTCTGGTTCAGGCTCACTTCCTACAGCCTATCCCATGCAATGGGTGGGAAAACCTAGTCCCCCAAATGTAAATGGTGGGGAGGCCAGAGCCCGAAGTGGGAGCTTTCTGGGCTCCCATTTATTTCTCTGTGGGCTTTCAGTCGGTCAAGCTTGAAAATGGGACCACTATTTTGCCCACCCTCCTCCCCTGGCCGCCTTCACCTCGGAGGGTTTATCACCCGGAAAACAAAACATTGAAAAGGGAGGGGGTGACTCAGTAGTATTTGAGAAAAAGAGAACTGAGCACGATTTTGGTGCTACGTGCTTTTTGTGGGGACGTTCCTGGATGAGAGGGGTGGGGCTCAGAGAGGCTGCACAGTGCCCTGGGCTGGAATGTGGGGACAGCATTGGAGGCTTGTGAAACAGGGCACCTGTCAGCAACTGTGGATGGACACCACTGGGAGGAAAGGGTGAATCTGTCACCAGGTCCCCCGGGCACTGGAGGGCTTGGAAGATGAGCAGGATCTAGTGGCTTGCAAGGTGGTGCCTGGCAGGTTTGGGTTGTGTTCTGTCTGTCCCGGAACCCCCAGCTCGGACCCTCACCTTGCCCCGGGCCTTCACTCCTGGCGCTGTGAACACCAGAAGCTTCTCGAAGGTCTCCCAGCCTGAGGAGGACTTCCGCACCCGCTTTGGCTGTGGTTGTGCCCCATCTTCCTGGACTGTGGTCTCTGGCGGGGTACCTGGCGGAGTGTCGGGCTGGGACTCCGGCGTGCCGGCCTCTTCCCAGCGCAGGGTCAGGGGGTGGAGGCCGTTGACCAAATACAGCGTGTCGCCCACAGCCAGAGCGCCTTCCAACCCGGGGTTCAGCTCTTTGGTCCCCGCAGTGGTGGGGTTAACGCCCAGCTGCAGAAAGGAGCCAGCAGCTAGAACTGGTCCCGCCCCAAACAACAGTTTCCTCCAATCAGATTCCTTCGCGAAGGGTATGTGTTTCTCCCATTGCGAATCAGACGTTAAAGACCCGCCTCTTCATTCTGCCCAACCAACCAGGGCTTTGATAGTGCCATTAACCCTTATTAGTCACACAACCTCAGCCAATCAGATTTTTCCAAAAGGTTCCTTTCACTGCTGAATTGAGCTTCCACTGCCCCACCCACCCACCCGCCCGCCTTTCTGTAGGCTCCCCACCGGGGCTTGTGGTCCTTTATTGTGATTCTGATACCTGTTTCACCGCCACCATCCGGTTCTCACTGTCTGCCACCAGCTCCACTGAAAATGACAAAGCAGAGTCGGGCGCTGCACACTACTGTGACTGGCTCCCCATGACTGAGCTGACCACCACAGCTCTGGTGGCATAGCGGTTACACATTAGGCTGCGACCCCAAAGGTCAGCAGTTCAACCACCTACTTTTGTAAACAGTCTCGGATACTCACAGGGACAGTTTTACCCTGTCCTACAAGGACCCTATGAGTCGGCATGGACTCGATGGCAGCGAGTTAAGGGCTTACTCGGGTGACCAGCTCCAGATCACAAGATTGGGCTACCAGAAAGCCTCAAACCAAACCAAAGCCAGTCGTCGGGTCAAGTCTGACTTACAGCGACCTTATAGGACAGAGTAGAATTGTCGCTCTGGGTTTCTGAGGTTGCAGATCTTTACAGGAGTGAAAGCCTCAAATTTCTCTCTTGGACGGGCTAATGGGTTCTAACGGCTGACCTTTCTCAGATCACAGTCCACTGTCATCAGGGCTCCTACCAGCATCGTGAGTGGGGTAAAATGAGTCATATTTTATTTCTCAATGTAACTGGCTCACTGCTTGACAGCTGGCGGCCCCATGTTGTCTGCGCCCTCTGACCCTCAACCTGCTCTCCTCCCCAGTCCTCTAAGCATTCATTTCTGCCCAAGGCAGGTCTCCTAGAATCAACTCCTTCGATCCCCACAAATAGGTATGACCAATTCCAGGTCAGGTGCACGCAGGCTGCAGTGCTCCCCCAAAAGGGGCTTCAACATTGCAGCACAGCTCAGTAGCCTGGCAACTTTCCCGCCCCAGACATAGGCCACACCCCTCGAGGGCAAGGCCCCGCCCACCTTGGTTTCGCGAGCACTTCCGGTCGGTGATTTGAGTCAGGGGTCCTCGACCAAGGATGAGGGCTTGCCCGTCTGAAGGCAAGAAGATGGGAGGCGCCCCCCCAGGGGGGCTTTCGAGCCATAGGCGACCCTGGGCCACCAACTCGGCCATCCTGGGATGGGGCCTAGGAAAAAGGTGAATGAGTTTGAATGACAATTCTGAGCTCCGCCCATCCTCCTACCAGGCCCAACCGCCCCCACCCTTTGCTTCCTAAAGACCCCGACGGCCTGCCGGAAGTCCCGCCTCATCCTCCCGACAATGCTAAAGTGGTACCGGAAGTCCCGCCTCATACTTCCGACTATGCTCAAAGTGGCACCGGAAGTCCCACCCCTTCTCCCACAAACGGTTCGCAGTTTCCCGGGCGACAGCTCCAGCTTTTCTTCCCTGGATCCGGGAGCCCAAACTCCCAGGGCTTGAACAAAAGCGTGGCGATGGCCCCGCCGCTACTCTCACCTGTCACCCCTCTCGGCCTCAAGCTCAACTTCCGAACAGAGAATTCCCGTCAGAAAAACCTCCCCGCAACTCGGCTCGCCGACTTCCCAATTTCGTGGGAGACGGAAGTGACTCGCCCCACCCAGAGGGGCGGAACCGTCGCGTCTCCGACCCCCGCAGCTCCGCCCCAAACCTCCGTGCTTCCCCAGGAAGCGGACTTTCTTTTCTCGCTGCAAGTTGAAGCTGCCGACGGTGGAGGCGAATGCATTCTCGGTTCACAGGTTTAAAAAATAGAAAAAAGGATCACTGCAGCCACCACTTGTCTGTCAGTTGGTCGTTCGGTGGTGGCCTGTGTTGCTGTGCTGCTGGAAGCTCTGGCCCCAGGGTTTCCGAGGGCTGCAGGGCCCCCCCAAAGTGAACAGGTTCCAGCAGAACTTGCAGGCTAACAACAAACGACGAAGAAGGAATAGGCTGGCCATTTCTGAGGAATTAGGCACAGGAACTCTTATGGGACCGGGCAATGTTTCGTTCCGTTAGACATGGGATCGCTGAGTCGAAACGAACTTGGTTGTACCTAAGAAACGTCCACCGTTATCTAGTAAAAGGAGCTCTTGTGACACAGAGGGCTATATGCATTGAGCTGCTTGCTAACCACAAGGTCAGTAGTTCGAAGTCTGCTGCTCCACAGGGGAATGATGTTCTGTTTTTGAAAATTTGCAAATTAGGTGAGAGCTTACATCTCAAATCATCTACTTTATATGCAACGGTTTAAACCAGCAATCAAGCCCCCAGCCCCCCGGCCCCAATAGTCTACTTCTCCCCTGCTCCTAGATTTCCCTTTTTTCCTTAAGGGAAGCACCAGCCTTCACTTCACCCAGGTGACCTGCGATTAGATGGCTCTATCTACTTTCCCTCAGTTATAAGTCATTTCCGGTTGCTTTGCAAGACCTTATCTTCTTGTTTTTGGTGTAGTGTTTACGTCCTGGTCCCCGGTTCAAAACCACCAGCAGCTCCACCACGGGAGAAAGACTAGGTTTTCTGCTCCCGTAAAGAGTTCACGTCTCATCTCGGAAACGCACCGTTCTAGCCTGTCCCTGGGGTCACTATGAGTCATTAACTCAGCACTAAGTTTGGGGTGTGAGTGGGGTCGCATACAATATTTTTCCTTTTGTGATTGGCTATCTGTACTCAGCATCCTGTCCCCCAGATCCATCCATGTCAATGAGGTGTCTCTGTTTTTTAGTAATCCTGAGTATTGTATGGTGGATACTGACCAGAGATTCTTTATCCAGTCTTCTCCTGATGGGCATTGAAGTTGGTTTCTGTTTTCTTGCTACTGTGAACCACTAGTGCTGAGATGAACGCGGTGTGCCTGTCTGTTGGAATTAGGGCTCTTACTTCTTTGGGGCACTGAGCCCCCAGAGGGTGCACTGGGTCCGCTGGAATGTTTAATCCCAGTTGTCTTAACTTGTGGCCTGTCGCTTTCCACCAACAGTTCTCAGCTCTTGGTAGCCTCTCCAGTATTTTCTTTTCTGTTTGTTTTCCTTTAAACTTGGCTGGCACTGTTGATGTAAGGCTGTCTGTCCTTGTGACTGTCTTTCCTTGTGACTTCC